CACAACCCAGAGAGCACAATGCAGTCAATTTTGAATAAAATAATAATCAATTCTAAAATAGTGGTAACAGTGTTATAATTTTGCAGAGTAGGAAAATGCTCTGCTATTCTGTAATACCTAATCTCTGAGTCTCCTGCAGGGTAAAAGCCACCAATGAAGGAAAATCGAGGTATTATTGCCAAGTCAGTGTAATCTTTTAACTACTCAATAACACTGCAGGTTGCTGGCAGAAATGTAGTGTACTTTCTATTTGTATTTTCCACTTGTTGCCTCTTTTTTCAATAATTTTCAGATTTAATTTCCTCCCAAGCTGTTAACAAAAAGAATCATTTTAGCACTTATTTAAAATCCATATTTTTTGGAAGCATTGGACTTCCCAACTCTTCCCTCCACAAGCTGCAGATTATTCAGAACTGTAGCTCGTGTCCTCACCTGCACTAAGGTCTGAGCCAATCACCCCCCGTTCCTTGCCCAGCTTTACTGGCTCCCCATCCCCCAGAGGTTCAAGTTCAAGATCCTCGTCCTCACCTTTAAAGCCCTCCAAGGTCTTGCTCCTCCCTACCTCTGCAACCTACTAAAACTTTTGCTAACCTGTCCCCTCCCTCCGCTCTGCAGGCCCTGACCTGTTCCGTGTCCCCTGCCCTGCTCTCCCTGCCATCGGAGGTTGGTCCTTCCGCCTTCCTGCCCCCACTTTCTGGAACTGGAAGGCCCCTCCGCTTTGCTTCCTTCAAGGCCAGTCTTGAGACCTTCATCTTCAACCTTTGGTCATCTTCACACTTTCACCCACTTCCCTTCCACCCCCTCTGATTTCAGCCCCCAGTTCAGGTACAAACTATTCACTGTCCAGGTCCTTGGGCCGTCCTCCCCACGTGAACGGTGCTATATAAATGCGATTTGTTGTTGTTTGTGCACTTTACCAACATAGTATGGCAGTTGCCACTTCCAAATTGAGATTATCATTTCCTTAGTGGATTGCTAAACCACTTTGTTCAGAATTACTTCTTTTGCCCTTTCCCGAATTCCGTCCTCAGTTGTTTACGGGGATGAATAGTGAAGTGAGAGCTTTATGTTAGAGTACTTTTTTTTTCTGTCTTGAGTATTTGAAGCCTTGTGCTGTGTCTGTTGTATACAGCCTGAATAGAATTATGTCTTCTACTTTCAAGACCATTTGTGGTCCAGCTGTTGGATATACTAATGTTGGATTTGAAGATGAAAATTATGTGCTTGTTGGATTTATGTAGCAAGTGATTCCATAGATACATAGTGGAGAAAATCCCAAGGCATTCGAGCGTTGGATGCATATTGAGTTATGAGAGTAAAAGACTAGAAAGAGCTAATCTGTTCTTAGTAGTACATGTATTCAATTGAAATGCATTTTAGATGTACCTATGAAATTGTTTTGTGTTACCGTATGTTGTTTATAATAATAATAATCCTTGCATTTGATATAGCACCTTATCACGTCATCAAAGCACTTCACAGGAAGTGTGTTGTGGGTGAAACTCACCAGCCATTTGTGCACAGAAACAGTCGTGGGTTGAGTGACCACATTATTATTATTATTTTTGGAACTTCACTTGTGTAAAAAGTGAGATAGGTTAGCGTTGATCTGTGTACATTTTAAGTCGGTCGCCAGGGAAGGCTGCCTGAATCATTTTGGTTGTGTTTAGTAAGCAATTGGTTATTTGTGCATAGTGAAGAAATGTCAGATTCCACACCTCCGTGACGAACGTGATGTAATTACATTGCTTTCAGTATCACCTCACAAATTTGTTTGTGTCATGTGAAACTTGTGATTACGCAGTCCTGTCCTGTACTGCTGTACTGCCTTTCCTGTTTTCTCAACAACATGGAATTCCAATTAGCTCTTATTATGGAATTTATTGCGTGGTGTAATCTAGTTGTATCAGACAAAACTGCTTGGTTTGGGGTGTGATGATTAATAACACGGATATATTTTAGCACAGACATGGGTGCATTTACATTTTTCAAACCTTGTACTTGTATTGTAAAGTTGCAGACTAATTAAACGCTTGCTGGTAAATACTGTATCAGAATCTATAAAATTCTTTACGTAATGTTATGAAACATTATGTTCTAGGTTAAAACCATGACCTTGATCACAGTTGACATTCGTTACAACTTTTGCTGTTGGCTGAACATGTGGTGTGGTTAGCTTTGTGTTATGTAAATGTATAAACTAAATCTCGGGTTTTTACCACATTTTTACGTTCACATCGTGTTCCGTGCAATTTGCCAAAATAACAAGTGTAAATTAAACTTGTGAACTTTTCGTGCAGTGGGTAATAGTCACTTGTACCCCATTGGAGAAAAGGCAGGGAAGTGGGTTTAAACAATCTGACATGATCCTGTCTCAGTGGGATGAATGTCCCATTTCTGTTGTTTTGATTCAACTGTTGACAGTATAGGTCTTTGATGAGTGGAAAATCCGAATGTTTGTTGACATTCATCATGTGCAAACCGTGTGAGGCAGCAGCAACTACAGCTAACACATAGACAGTTTCACTCTGGGAGGATGTCTCAAAAGCGCTTTAAAACAACATTGCCTGGGAGCGGGAGCTTGTGGGGTGGGGTAAGATGGAAGGGAAATCTGAGCAGCAAGCAGACTTCTGCGTTACACTTGCCAATTCAGTTAAGTTTAGAAGTTGCGCAGGCTGAGCCAGGCTGTGTCTGGGCACCTTGCGTGCATTTGATTCGGCCTTTAATAATAATCGTTACATTTGGTTTAGCGTCTTTCACGTCAGGATAACGTTCCAAAGAGCTTCGCCCGAAGTATTGTAAAGTGGAGTGACTGTTTGAATTTGATCAGTATAAAATTAGTCGTTATCGTCATTTGGTGTAAAATTTAGCCATTTAAATATTCTTAGTAATTCAAGATACTGTGTTTGAGGGTATAATTCTTTAAAGCGGTGTTTTTAACAAGAAACCAGATTCAAAGACAAAATGGAGGTTTATTAACCAGGTGGAATAGGGGAAGAGAAATTGACTGGTGTAAGCTGGCTGAGGAAGTACTTTTTAAATGGAGATCCCATCCCCGTGTAGCCTGATCTATTTACGTAGCCTCGCCCAAACTGTTTTTGGATACGGTTACCTTTAAAAAGCAAAATTCTAGAATAACAAAAGCCATTGGCTTTTTAATCCATGTGCAACTTGAGAGTTGACTAGGCACTGAATGTTTAAAAAGCTCAGAAGTATTTGGCTGACTTTGAACATTGTGCGAGAGGGAGAAACGTGTGGTTGTTGATGTGGTGTGATTGAATCCTACGTTGGGTTCTGAGCAGCTGCATTCCACAAGTGACTCGTTTGTTGTCCCAACAGCTCAGAAAATATTGTTGTGCAGCGCATTTGATTATGAGTCAGCCCCGTTTGAGAGGGGAGAAAACAGGAGGGTATCCCAAGACATTAAAACTCTTGAATGCTGCTTTGCAGTGCGCTTTGGAGAAAGATTGTTTTGACTAATAAACTGCTGTGGTAGCATTGTTTTTGATTGTAGTCGCACACTGAAGAATGCGTGCAATGTCTCGTTCTTCATTGAGACTGCGTTTCAGAGCAAGAACATGGGCGTTTGTTTTTCACTGAGTATTCTCAAGTGTTCGGCAGTGTGATTTCTTAGCTTCTTGACTCAGCAGATGGCGCCACTTGTTTGCCAGTTTTCTTTCAGACTTGTTCTAAAAACATTCCTTAGAATTTATTGTACCTTGTCCTTCCTTCCCACTTGCTACCTTTCGTCTTTTCCCCCACTCCCTTTTAAAAAAAAACCTGTCATTGTGAGCTTAACTGCTTTCTGGTTATACAATTACCTTGAATTACTGTTTTCAAATATAAATTTTCTTTACGAAATGTATTAACAGATTATACAAAAATAAGCTGTGATTAGATAGGCACTCGAAGGTGCATTGCTGAGTTGTTGCTGCTTATTGTGCTCTGAAGCTTCAGTGTTGCTCTACGCGATTTGCGTGGGGGAGAGAATCTTGTAGTGTAAAGCTGTTATATTTTGCTGAGTATCAAACGCTTAACACTCAAACACTTGCTATTTTCCTCTCCTGTAACCTTCCCCCAATACCGCCGACATGCTGCAGAGCCAACCTGTGGGAAATGTGTTTATGACGGACTGGCCTTTTGCATGTTCCTAGTGGGGAAGTTGCTAGATTCTGGCATCCAGACATCCAATCGCTTTAAGAACCTATTGGGATTTGGGCATGCAACCCTATATCCACCCCTATCTTGTGAGCAGTCAACATTTTTGCACCAGGAGGTCTTGACTCCCTAAATAAGTGCTTGAAATCATCCAGGCCTGATATGTGTTTCAAATCCTGCAAATAAATGTCTTGTTCTATTGCTTTTAGAATTAGGAACGGTTTAGGATTAATTTGAAAGAAAATGTTCCTCGTACGATTGAGGATTTCAGTTCAATACCGAGCAGCTGATGATTTTCAGTGATGTCTTATATTTGTTCCATTGTTTCAAAATGCAGACTTCAAATGATTTTGAATAATTTATTTTTAATCCTTCATTGATGGACGTAGACTTGCATTATTTTTAATGGCGGTGGGTGGGTGGGTGGGTGGGTGGCTTGCTTACCGACGTAAGCAGTATGCCATTTTGTACTTTGATCCTTTATGATAAGGAAATGCTGGGCAGCGGTTGAAAATAGCTGAGGACAGCGATCTTCCACTGCTTCCCTCCCCCTCGGTTGCTTTTCCCATTTTTGGCTCATTGCCCATCTTTCCATTAAAACTAAACGGCTGTTCATTGGTTGCGCTTTGTGACGTAGGAGGAGAATAATTGGATCGGGGGTTTTTGGGTGTGTGACATCACAGTTCAGTACTTCACTGCTCCACCAGTGTTTCAGCTCAGTTGCGTTTCTGCTGTCTACTGAGATTGTTTACTGCCACTCACGTCTAACCTACTTCAAAGGCAAACATAAAGGCTGCATCATTCAAAGAGTCTGAACCCTGGGGATTTCATTGTTGTTTCAGGATCCTTGCAAACTGCTGACCATCGAGGGGGAAAAAAGGAAAGCTCCAGCTTGGCGTAGCTACAGTCTATACAGCTGCAGTACTTGTTTTGTCTAATGTGCTTTAAGGATGAGCCCGGCGCGAGGAGCAATGGAAGTGGAGCACTATGCAAAGGGAGTTGTCCTAGAACCGTTTGTTCATCAGGTGGGGGGGCATTCTTCTGTCCTCCGATTTAATGACACGACGATTTGCAAACCCCTCATTCAGCGGGAACACCAGTTCTATGAAACACTGCCTCCAGAGATGCGCCGGTTTACACCTCAATATAAAGGTAAGTACAAAACCCTCACCTCTCAGCCACCCAGAAATGTATTATGTTCTGTCTCTGTAATTGATTTTTGTTGCTTTGCCAAAAGTCCTTGATAGTCTTGGGGAATCTTTGGGCCTGGGGGAAGCTTGTGTCTTTGTTTTTCTCAAATTTATCAGATGAAAGCCTTGATCTGACAGGTGGGTCCAGTTGGCAGCTAATCGCAGTGTAGTTGTGTGACACGTGTGGGTAGCCTGTGCTCTACTATGCTTTAAGGGTCGTCCGCCCGCTGCAGGTAAGTTCATTTCAAGGTGGGGAAAATGTTATTTCTAAAATCTTGGGTTTCAGTGTTGAATCTGAACTTGATTTAAATGTATAATGCAATTACTAATGAAACGTGCCAGTGTGCTAGAATGTGTGTGTTTTTTTTATTTTTAATTGTAGTGTAAATGAAACCACTGGAGCTTTTCTCTCTCTAACAGTACTTCAGTAGGCTTAGCAGGCATTTTAAAGTTGAGGTAAGAGCTGGAAAAGCTGAAATCAGAGCCAGCCAGCCGTCTTTCGTCTTGAGGCAACGCGACCGACTGGAACAACTAGCTCCACCAGGGTGTGTGAGTCAGCCAGTTCTGTTGTAGGCTGTAGTTGGGGAAGTTCCTAGTACAGTAAGTGACGACATCTGGATGTTGCAATCTCACATGCAGTTTTCATTAAAGGGGCAGAAAGCCATGTACATACACTGTGGACTCTATCATGTTCATGGATTTAATTTTTGGGGGTTGGGAAGGGGCAGTAAAGTAAATTTATAACAGGAATATTTCAGTACTGATAATGGGCTGTGGAATATAGTGTAAAGTTGTGCCAATCTATTAGATTATTCTATTAGAGTATTTTAATGTGAGATTTTTAATTAGATGGGGGGGTGGGGGAAAACCTAACTTCAGAAAGCTGCAAGTTTCTAACCTTTTTCTGTGTTCAATAAAATATGGTTCTTATTATCTCAATAAGAGAGCACTGAAGTGCCAGAATCAACTAATTGGGTCAATAGTAATGCATATCATGTGCTTGATGTAAATAAGTTCTTTTTAGGGATGTGTTGTCTTGTGTTTTGGAGAGTGGGCTTGTTGCCCCTCTTGTCCCATCTTGTTTTTCTTTCCAGGATAAAGCCCTAGGCCTTGTCCTAGCTTCCCTTAGTAACCCTCCCTGTCTGAAGGACAACTTGGGTTTCGCCACCCCCCTGGTTAGGTCCATTGTTGCTGTTATTCGATGGCCAGCTGCTTAGTGCACGAAGCTGGGACTCTGAACTACAGGTTCCTTCATCCAGAATGCTGTGTCTGGCAGTTGTGCAGGATGACAAAAGATCCATTCAGGCTGCTGTTGGACTGTTCAAAATAAGAGGCGACGCTAATGTCATTGAGCCAACCCAGCGACTGGCCTCAGCCTTGCTATCAGACTTACCTCTTCAATGAACTTGCAAAGCAGCAAGCACAGGTCACCGACTGCGGTGGAAAAGTTTACAGGGAAAGTGAAAATTCTGTAATGTTTTACATCAGCCATGAACTGGAGCACGACAGATTAAAGTACGAATTATTGGAGCCTTTTGCTTAATTAGCATTGCTATGTAATGCTTTCTTGACTTCAAGTTGTACTTGTATGTAGAGCTGTAGGTTTTTGTTTTGCAGGGAATGTGTTGGCTTGTCTGTTTAACTACAGTTTACCTGAGTTTGACAAAGCTTTACAGAATTCTGTACTTCAGTGTATCAGTAAGCTTTGTATTCACTATTCTGCATCAGCGTTTATCATTTGGCTTTATGAACTGCATTACTCTACTGTGTTTCATCATTGGAGACTTTTAGTGCATTGGCCTTCTCTAGATTTGGATACAATGGTGTTCTCCAAGTTTGCTCTATTACATAAATTTTCAATTCCTTGCACAGAAAATTAATGGGTCCAAATAAACAACTTCCTCAAGCCCATTTGTCTCAGTTGTTTTATTGACTCCTATTCTTATTACATATGCTGATGTATGTGCAGTGTTTGGGTGGGATATTGTGTATAATTTGGAAGTTTCTTTTTTCCAGATTACAAAAGTATCTTTGTCTAGTTTTTTTGATATTTGTTAGGTTGAAAGACGGCACAACCGCATAAAAACTGAAGGCTTGGGTAAGCAAACAGGCTGTTTTGTTTTCACTGTTTCTATGTATAATCTAGTGACAATTTAGTTGCTAAGGTATTGTAAATGTACATTACTGCCTGTCTTACGAGTGCTCCCTTTTTCTGTTCCTCTTGTAGGAGTCATTTCTGTCAGTTTCGAAGAAGATGAAGAAGGAAACCTGTCTTTAATTGCCTACCCGTTATCAGGGGACCAAGTTGATTTGGAAAATGTAGATAACTCTGATTGTGAACCTAAAAATAAACTTATAAGGTGGAGTAACAAAAAGCCCGTTTTACTAGAAAATGACAATTACGGCAAGGATCGGGTCAGGCAAAACAGGAAGGAAGAGAAAATTAAAAGGTTGGTTTTCAGTAAACTATTTGGTACAGAAGCGTTCAATTTAGTCCACCCCCCTTTCTCCTTCCTTCCCCCACCCCCCTTCCCCCCCATCCCCAATCCCCTCCAAAGGCTTGTAAATTGAGTTTGAATTATAACTCATCCTAGGGTCCGGTCCGACTGTCTTAATTTCTCACCTTCAAAGTATCTTTTGTAAACTAGTCAATTTGCTTTTTTTTAATACCAACAAGCCAAAGTACTTGTGACTGCTTAAATTAAACTAAACTTAAGTTAAACTAAAATCCATCCTCAGTTTTGTAGTAATTTTCCTTGAAACTTTATGCGGCTGATATTTTGTACTGGACTTTGTTTTTTAAACCATATTGTGATTTGACAAAAAAAATCTGATCAGTTTAGTTAGCGATAGCATAGACATGAAAAGCTTTTAATTAATTTTATTAACAGTACTGAAAGCTTTTGTTAATTCGACTTTACTTGTTTTAGCTGAAACTGCTGCAGAACAATGAGGTTCTTGTTTTAGTTCTTCCTCAAAAAGCCCACCTCTGAAGTTTAACCTTTTAGGTTAATGGTTAATGTGTGTTTCATTATTCATTAATTTTATTCAATGACAAGTTGTCAAAAAATGTCTGTTTGTACGATGATGTGCACAAATTGGCTGCCATGGCACTCTTGCCTAGAAATGCAGTCACTACACTATAGTGAATCTTGTAAAGGATTTGAGATGCTTTGACTACATAAAGCACTATGAAAGATGAGGATTATTTACTATCCAAGGGAAGGTTCAATATCCTAAAAATCTAGTGTTTTTGCACCATATTTACTGCAACTTGTTCTTTGGAAAGGGATAAAGTCAGACAGTTTGAGAAACCTGCACTGAGCATGATTTTACTTTAGAATGTGAATGCTCTGTTTCTAAGCAGCAGATATTGGAGGCTGTTCTTAATTACCTGTGTAGTACATTGTACACTCTCCAGGGCTATAAAAATCAAACGCTTTAGAATTATGAGGCGATCTTGGTAATACCTCTCAATTGCAATGAAAATCTGAGTTGACAGTGCTCTATATAGAGTTTAAACATGCCCATCTGTTCCCATATTGTGCAGTGAGTGTGTACATTTGCAACCACTATTTGTACAGATGGAATGTAACAGTTTGGCTCCATTTTCTGTTTTGCAGCCATAAACTAGAAGAGGAATTTGAGTGGTCGAAAAAGTCTGAAGTGTTATATTGTAGTCTAGAGAAGAAGTCTGGGAAGGTGAAGCATAACCCTTGGAGCATGAAGTGTCATCAGCAACAGCTGAAACGTATGAAGGATAACGCCAAACACAGAAACCAATACAGTATCCTTTCCTGTTGTTATACAGTATGAGTGTGACCCATTTCTGTGGCACCTCCTCTGCCATTATCTTATACTCCCATTGGGCTGCTCAGACCTGTGTATGAAGGTTGAAGAGCTTTTAGTTCCTATTATGGTAAAGTTTCAGTTTCTAAATCTTTATTTCCTCTACATTAAAGTTTCAGTTTCTAAATATAGGCCATGCTCAACCCTCGATTTGTTTTCACACTCAGTTTTTGAAATGTCTTCATAATGCTGTTTTATCCATACACATTAGTGTTAATGTTCTGATACACATCTAGATCTATACATATATTGTGTGCACTCTTAGGGGAAGGACACATTGAAAGGTTAAATGGTTGGTCCTACCTTTCTACTGCTCCACCCCTTTAATTTCCCCAGTTTTTTACTTCAGCGTAAGAAGGATGTAAACGCTTTCTGGCTTGAGTGCCTGCACGCCCTCTGGTGAGTAGCGTGGCCGCCTAAGCCGATTTTCCAAGAAATTTGGAAGTCTGCAAACACTGGGCTTCTGAGACCAGCAAAATCAATTACAAAATTGATGCTATCATCTGCAAGGTAGTAGTTTGGTTTGAGCTAAGTCCCACCCCTTTTGCTCAGTCTGCTGCACGTCCCTGATCCCTCTGGCCATTGATCCCTCTTCAGCCACTGTGCTCTTAACCCCTGGAACGCCCTCTTTCGTGTCCTCTTTAAATCCCACCTTAAGACTGGCCTCTTTGACCACTCCTATGGTAACCTCTTTCTCTCTTGCTCAGTAGCCAACCTCACCATTGTACAGCAATCCAAGACACATACCTGTGTGAAGGTACCAAATAAAAGTTGCTGTATAGGTTGAGGAAAGATATATTTACCTACCTTGCCTCTGGAATCAACTGCAAAGTTGACATTGTGCTTACTTAGATTCCACTTGTGCTGTGTGTGCAATGGCTTCACAGAGTGTGGGTTGTAGACAAAACCTGGAAGGTGTTCTGGTTCGACATTACAAATGTATGGAAGAAACCAAAGCAAATTGATTTTTCATTCAGGCGATGGTGTGTTGCCTTAACTCTCCGGCCAGAATTTATTTTATTGGAAAACCTAACCTGCCGATACGAAGTTCCATGCGTCCTCGACCTAAAAATGGGAACCCGGCAGCACGGGGATGATGCTTCGGAGGAAAAGAAGGCAAACCAGATCCGCAAATGTCAGCAAAGCACTTCTGCTGTCATTGGCGTCCGAGTCTGTGGGATGCAGGTATGTCCACCTCTTGATGTTGAGGAGAAGGGGCGCGGTAAGAAGAGAGCAAGGAAAAATAATAATAATAATAAACCTTGCATTTGATATTGAGCCTTACCATGTTGTTGAAACATCACAAAGTGCTTCACAGCAGAGATTCCTGTGGGTTGTAGAACTTCAGATGAATAAGAAGAGATATTCAGTGCCTAATTTTGCAACCATCTTATTCTTTGCTTCAATCATGTCTACATAGGACACCACCTTTTGTGAAATTCACTAAGTAAGACACATCTTTCGGTTTGAAGTGAGTAATCTGATGTCAAGTGCTTCTAGGTTACCACCCCACCCCCCCCGGCCTCTACACATTCAGTCATATGTAAATTTTCAGTGGCATTTGGTTCAGTAACTAAGATTTTTTACTCAGCCATTGGAATTGCATTGCACAGACTTTTAATTAAGACTTTTGTTTAAAAGCATTAATGGCAGGAAAGATCGTCCACAAAATATACAGAAAATTCACTTCACAGTATTCTACAAAGCACTTTGAGACGTCTTGAAGACATGATAAGACGCTATATTAAATACAAGGATTATTATGATAAGATGTTAATGGTGAGAGGCAAAGGAGGTTTTGAGTGAGTAGTTTAGACCTAGGGATTTGAAGCAGAACAAAACTGTTAAACGCTGTGTGGAATATGTCCCAATATTTTATGCTCAGTCTTTTATGTTGTTAGAAGCAGCAGCCAGAGGGTGCGAGTCAGTTTGTGTTCACACTGCCAGCTTCTCTGACAGCATTTAACTTAATTAGTAAAGTAACTGGAATCCTTGTCGCATTGTTTCTCAATCCATGTGACCCCTATGTCCCTTTAATCACAGTGATGCCTTTTTAGGCCATCTTGTTTTTATTGTGAGCTGAAAGACGTAGTATGAAATGTTTGCTGGGCTGTGCTCACACCACATTAAACGAGATGAAAGTCTTGAGGGATTTGCACGCGACAATGTGGCTGCAATGGTGTTGGGCAAGAGCTAAGCTTGGTTATGTAAACGTTTTGAGAGAAATGACTGTATAATATGCCCTAACAGCCAGGCTATTTTTAATAGTGGTAAATTGTCCTCATGCGCACTCGAGCCAATCCTGGTAATTAGTTGTTGCTACTAATTGAAACCATGCAAATGCTTTGCTGTTTTGACATGAAACCTAAATCAACATGGATCCTTGCATTCCCCCATCTGTTTTTCTTCTCAGGTTTATCAACTGGACTCTGGCCAACTCATGTTCATGAACAAGTACCACGGAAGAAAGCTTTCGGTCCTGGGCTTTAAAGAAGCACTTTACCAGTTTTTTTATAACGGGAAGTACTTGCGCAGGGACCTGTTTGAACCTGTTCTTAAGAAACTGTCTGAACTGAAATCGGTATTGGAGAAACGGGAGTCTTACCGCTTCTACTCCAGCTCCCTGCTGATTATTTACAACGGCAAGGAAGCGACTGTGGATTCCGACTCTGAATACCTGGAAGACCTCTCTGAAGAATCGGCTGATGAGTCAGCGGGGGCCTACGCCTACTCCCCAAACTCAGTCACGGCTGACGTCCGCATGATCGACTTTGCTCACGCGACGTGCAAGTATTTTGGCGAAGATAGCGTCGTTCATGAAGGACAGGACACTGGCTATATCTTTGGACTTCAAAATTTAATAACTATTATTAAAGAAATAAGAGACGACAGCAATGAATAAACTAGAGACGTGTAATCGTGCTGTTGTGAATGGGTTTCTTTGTAGTCAGGTTATTGACTGACCAATTCAAGGTCTTGACATTTGTAACCCGATGGTAGATGTTCATCGGCAGAAACTGAATGGAATGGGCATTTCCTACGGTAGTGCCAGAACAAGGCACTTGCAAATATCTATTTATTTTAACTATTTCACGAACATTCCATAATATTTGACTTGTCAAATACCTCTGTATTCCTGTGCGTATCTGTTCATAAATAAAAATTGTTTTTGTGGTAAATCTGGAGTCTGAATCTTATTGTATGAAGTTGGTGCTTAAAATACATGGATTAAAGTGGATGCATTTAAAATTCACATCAATAGTGGCGGACGGTGAGGGGGGGGGGGGGGGGGAGAAACGGAACTTTTCAGTTGCTTATAGCCTTTTACGGTGCACCGACCTCCACTTTCTCCTGAAGCTGGTGATGAGCTTGGGATGTGCATCCACAAGTGCCTTCCGGTGTCTTCATACCTTACACAAGTGGCTGTTCACTCTTGGAACCCTGCCTTACTCTGCCGTGGGGGTGGGTGGGGTGTGACCCATCATCTTGCCCAGTATTGTCCTAGCTCAACATCTACTTCCACCGTGATTCATTTGATGGCACATCCTACAGCACAGAAGGAGGCCATTCGTGTCTGTGCCTGCTCTTTGAAAGAGCTATCCAATCAGTCCCCCTCTTTCCCCAAAGCTTTGCAATTTTTTTCTTTTCAACTATATATCCAATTCCCCTTTGAAAGTTATTATTGAATCTGCTTCCACTGCCCTTTTAGGCAGTGTATCCCAGATCATAACAACTCATTGCATAAAACAATTTCTCCTCATCTCCCCTCTGGTTCTTTTGGTAATGGCTGATATTCTTTTTTCCCCGTACCCCAATGGCACAATCAGAATACCAGCACCACTACCACAAGTGTGATTATATTCCCGTTCACTTTGCTTGTGACATGCGCCTCAGCCTTCAGTTCCACACTGTAGTTTGTTCTGTGCTGTGGAATATGAGCATTAGCTCTGCAGCTCGTGTACTGCCCCGCACCAGGCTACGCGACCACATCACTCCCACCCTCGCTCGCCTCCACTGGCTCCCCATCCCCCAGAGGATCAAATTCAAGATCATCATCCTCACCTACAAGGCCATTCACGGCCTTGCACTCTTCGACCTACTATCCCTCCACGTACCTGCCCGTACCCTCCGTTCCTCTGGCTCTGGTCTGCTCCACATCCCCCGCCCTACCATCGGTGGCCGGGCCTTCAGCCTCTCAGCCCCGAGGCGCTGGAACTCCATCCCCCAGTGCCTTTGCCGCCTCCTCCTTTTCCTCCTTCAAGGCCGGTCTCAAGACCTTTCTCTTTGACCGAGCCTTCAGCTCCCCTCTCGACTCTCTACCCCCTCCTCGCTCCCTCCCTTCCCTCCCCTCCCCCTGACCATTTCCCCCCTGCTCGGGTCCTGACCTGACTGTCCAGCGCCTTGGGACGTCCTCCCGACGTGAAAGGCGCTCTATAAATGCAATCTTGTTGTTGTTGTAGGGAGTATGCTGAGACCAGCCAAATTCTCTCCACGTGATTCTACAGTAGAGGTGAGAAGCTTTTGAATCTATTGCCCAGGGCTGGATTGTAACTGGACAAAGAGACAAAAGGCAGAGTGTGAATGATGATGCTTACATGAAATATAACGAGTCCTGTAGCGTAGTGATGAGTGCACTCGACACGCAAGTAAGAGGACCCGGGTTTAATTCCCCAGCCGGGTGAAACCTTAGGCAAGTTTGCTTACTCTACACGTCTCTGTTTACCTAGCAGTAAGTAGGAACCATTCGGATCGCTTTTCAGGGGTAATAATCCCTTGGAAAAAACAAAAAGACTTTGTGGGACACTGCTGTGCGCAATTGGGTGCAGAGTTACGCCCACAAGTTAAACAGTCAAACCAGTTTACAATATATTCTGTGAAGCGCTTTGAGATGTCTCAACAACGTAATACGGCGCTATTTCAAATGCAAGGATTATTAGAATTTAAGCCAATTACACGACAAAGCCTCAACGAGACTATTTTGTGGGTGGAATGAGTAAGATCGAAATAAACTTGCCGAAACTATGCAATATGGTCTGTGCTCCTTTAAATCTTAAGAGTTATACAGTATTTCCCTTTTAGGCAGAAACCGCAGGTTTTTTAAAAAAAACTTGCCCATCTTTATTTCCCCTTTCAATTCCCCTGAAAGTCAGCTTTGCTGGGTTACACTTCTCTACAGTAACTGTCCCTGATTGCCAATTTTGTGCTGGAGAATTAGATTCAACCAGGGCCAACCTAACTGGACCTGAGCCTGTCTGTGCACAAATATCCAGCAGTAGTTGTTTCCGGAGGGAAGGGCGGATGGGAAAGCAAGGAAAAAATACACAATTTTTACGGTGGGGTGGGTGGGAGAGAAGACAAAGTAAATAGTCAGATCGTACTATCTACCTACAGTGAGTGACAAAACTAGCTAAACTCCTAGACGCCATAAAATGTGTTCTGCCTTCAGTTCTGGGCAGAGATTCTGAGCGCATAAAACAGTAGCAAAGTCCAGCGTTTAATTTTAATGACCCGAGCCTGGAATATCACATGGCAATCCCATTCTACCGTGTGACAATGCTGCCGTGGTATCGACTTGACTTTTGCAGTAGACCATATAACTGTGGTTTTGCAACCTTTCAACCCCAGCACTAGGCTATGGATTAATGCAATAATTATAATCCTTGCATTTGATATAGCGCCTTATCGTGTCTTCGAGATGTCTCAAAGTGAATTGACTGTATATTTTGTGGATGAAACGTGGCAGTCAATAGCACCTTTCTCATTAGGATGTCTTAAGTCACTGCATAGCTGATTGTGCACCCAGCGGGGGTTGTGGAGAGGGTGTCACCAAAGTGCAGTTGAGATGTGTCTTTAGATTTGGAAGGAGGGTTGAGGTAGAGGGACTTTGTCTGGAATGGAATTCTAGAGGACGAGGGCAGAAGTGATGGTGGGGTGGATCGGATGGGGGACATGAAAGCCAGTGTTCGGTAACAGTAAGGAACAGTAGAGTTAATTGCAAGAGATCACAGAGGAGCATGACCAATGTGGGGATTATTACCTCGATCCGCTAAGGGATGGGGAGCCAATTGAGCTGAGAGAACATAGGGATGATGATAGGCTCGCGGAGCCTGGTGCGGGAAAAGACATGGACAGCAGTGGATTGAAATGTTTGATTCAAATTCTTCCTACCCCTTAAATTTCTTTCTCTTATCCTCTTCCAACCAAGCCGCAAGCTTCCGAAGTTGAGTACCATTTCGGTGTGAATCACATCTCGACAACTTTGCCCCAAATTTAGCAAATGTCTTCAAGGATCTACTGCAATGCTTTCTTGTGATAAATGAAACCCGGCTGAAACATATCCGAAATTCCTTCATATAACAGTCGAGGTGACTGTTTTGCACACAAATATACAGTCGATTCACTTTATAGTATATTCTATGAAGCACTTTGAGGTGACACGAAGATGTAATAAGACGCTATATCAAATGCAAGGATTATTATTATTATTATTCCAATCTCAGAATCAAAGCCCTTTACAAAAAGCAAAAATCCTTTTTAAGATTGAGTTACGATTGTGGATTGTAGTGTCTGGGTTTGAAAGTTTGAGAGTTAAAGGGACTTTTCTGTACCCAGAGACTAACCTTAAGTCCCACCTCAAGACCTTCCTCTTCGACCATGCCATCGGCCACCACCCTTCCCCTCCCCTCCCTTATCCCTGACCGGGTCTGAAATGCTGTACTCTGTCCAGCGCCTTGGGACATCCATCCTCCTGACGTGAAAGGCGCTAAACAAATGTAATCTTGTTGTTGTTAACTGCTTTGTGTTACTACGTAAGCTTTGAATAGAAAGATTTTCAGATGATTGGAATGGGCGAAGGGTACAAATCTTGCGCCTTTTAACTTCAAATGCAGGTTCTTTGTCTCTTGCGAATTCAACGCCAGCTACGTTAGATGGTTCCACTCTTAGATCTTGCGCTGTTTGACATCTTTGACCACACTGTCTCGAGACTCCAACCTCAAATGGAAATCTTGTATCTCCTTTGCTGAAGCTGCCTCCACGAAGCTTGATTTCTCTTTTTTTGCTGAGCCCTTTTTTTCTCAACAACCCTTAATAACTTTCCACGGAACAATATTGCTCTTACATCAAATGTAAGCACCTCTTAGACTCCTGCACAGGTTATTATTATGTAATGTTTATCGTCGTTCTTTCTCAAACATTGTTTCCCAGAACCTCAAGTTTTTGGAACTTCTTCACTCTGTCTCCTTTAACGCTTGATTTCTCCACTCCTATAACCTACAGATTTGTACCACAGGATTATGTCATCATGTATTTTTTCTTAGCTCCAAAGTCTTTTCAACTCTTGACAATGGACTGTGGTCCTTGAACCCTCACCAAGGTTTCTCAACAATAATAAAAAGCGAACAGGAAAAACGTATCGAGTCCAACATAGAAAAGGAAACTGCAAACGAGCCACTGGATGATCAATTGTTTCTAAAAATGTCAACCTTTTTCTTCGCTGTTTAGCAAAAATAGCGGGTCACAACAGTTTCCCTTTTCCCATTGTTTCCTGCCCACTCTTGCACTCGTGTTCAAATCCATTCACTCCCTGGCACCTCCCTACTTCTCCCACCTTCTCACTCCCCAATCCACCACCCGGCAACTCTGCTCGACCGGCACCGGTCTCCTGCTCGTCCCTCGCATCCTCCGCCCCACCATCGGAGGTCGTGCTTTCAGCCACTACGCTCTGAAACTCTGGAACACTCTCCCTCAATCCCTCCGCCTTGCCCCTTCTCTCCCCTCTTTCAAGTTCCTCCTGAAAACTTTCCTATTTGACCGTGCTTACGGCCACCTCCCCCCTCCCCTGGCTCGGAGTCAGGCTCTGCCACTGTTAAGCGCTCCGAGACTCTGCCCTTGAATATTGGAAATGGCTTTCAAGGAAAAACTGACGTAACAAGGAAACGGCCAAACCAAGAGAATGAATCACAAATGTATTTTTAGGGTCCTTTCCACGGAAGGAAGCTTCTGGCACCAGACATCACAGCATTTCTTTCCTTTTTGTAAACTTATCTTTCGATCATAATCCTTGCATTTGATAACAGCATCTTATCAAGTCAAAACTTGACAGAGTTTTCCTGTTTAGCGCAGCGATTGGTGGACACAATGGCCAATTTCCGCACAGCGACGTCTCCCGGGGCCATGA